CTCACAATTTCATGTCCTCACCTCTGCAGTCCTCCGTCTCCCCACCAGGCTGGGCTGAGAACAGACCTGGGTCCCACATACCCTTGTTTCCCTAGCACCTCACATGATGGCTGACAATTCCTGCAGTAAATTCTGTCAAAGGCTCCTAGGTGACACAAACTATGCACTGCTAGGATTACCAGTTCATTTCAGTAATTAACACTAAAGGCTGGCGACTGGAACCCGCCAGTGGTACCTCAGAAAAAGCCTGCCTATCTGCTTCTGTTAAGGTTACAGCCAAAAAAAACCACCCTAGGAAGCAGTTCTACTCCGTAACAGACAGGGTCACCAGGAGTCAAAATCAATTTGACGGCAGCTAACGACAATTTTGTGAAATCAAAGAGTGAGTGCATGAGTGAATGAACGAATGAATGGTGTAGCTAGGGATGGGAAGGCCCAGAGATGGGCAATGGGAATGACCCTAGAAGTGGTGTGTCCTCCATGACAGTAGAGACTTTAAAAAGACAACACTATCTAGTTAACGGGGCTAAGACAAAATCTAGCACAATCCCTAAGAGCAGATTACAAAGGGCTGACGTGTCTCTCTCATCTGATATCAATCAGCCTTGATAATCCCCATCTCACAGACGTGGAAACTAACTATCAGAGTGGAAAGCGATTAGCCCAAAGCTTCTCAATTTGAAGTGACAGAGTCAAAACCTGAACCTCATCCCAGACCCCAAATCCCAGCTTCTCCGGTACGTCAGAGGGAGACATCCCTTGACATCAACTCACAGCAACCTTTTAGGACAGAGTGAGGCTGCAAATCTTTACAGAGGCAGAAGCCCTCGTCTTCCTCCTGTGGAGAGGCTGTTGGGTTTGAACCACCGATCTTCTGGTTGGCAGCCAAATGCTTTAACCACTACGCCGCCACAGGTCCTCCAGAGGAAGAACACACACACAAAAAGACTCACTGCCGACAAGTCGATTCGACTCCTAGTGACCGCTCCCTGGGTTTCCGAGGCGTTATCTCTATGGAAGTAGACGGCCCAGTCGTCCTTCCGAGGAGTGGCTGATGGGTTTGAACTGCCAGCCTTCTGGTTAGCAGTCAAATGCCTCAGGCACTACACACCAGAGCGCCCCAAAGGAAGAACAGGGGGGCGGAATGAGAGCAGCAATTCTGAAGTTTGGGGTGTTTTCTGCCCAACAGCACTCAGGCCAAAGATGTGGAAGGACTGAGTAACGGCAGGGATCACCGACACGACACGGGATCACAGACACCGAGTCCTCAAGCGGTAATTACTGGGGATGGGGGATGTGTGGGGCTTTCTGAACAGCCGCCAGGATTACCAACTGATTTCATCAATTAACACCTAGGTTTAAGGCCGGCACACTCCCGCACTCCCAGGTGCTGGGCTGTGGGCCTGCTCTGCCACACAGGGGCCAGGGAAGGCAGGCAGGTAAGAGATGACGGGTGAAGTCAGACTCTAAAGTAAAGACGGGCAGAGGAGGCTGGCACATGTGGGGTGTGGCTCCCCCATGCCAACACCAGAGGGAAACAGTCTGGGGCAGGAGCTGCGCCTCCCGCTGTGGGGCCTTGGGCAAATTATTTAAAGTCTCTGTGCCTCCCTGTCCTCAGCTGTCAAACGGGGCTGGGTTAGCTCCTTCCTGAGACTGTGTGTGGATTGAATGAGCAAATTCATTTAATGTGCTCTGCATAGTGCCCGTCGCAAAGTGCTCAATAAAGGGCATTATTTTAAGATTTGGGAAAAAATACCGATTACTAAGCAACAATGTAAACACTTTGGATACTAAAACACCCGTCCACAAGAGACCACGATGCAGGCCAGGCACAGGGCCTCTGACGGCCTGACACAACGATAAAGGACGCCATCACAGGAGATGTACCCGAGCGTTCACAGCAGAGCTGTGGGGCCTGGGGAGGCCTGGTGGCACAGTGGTTAAGGCCTGGGCTGCGAACAACACATTGGTGGTTTGAACCCACCAGTCAGTCACTCCACAGGAGAAAGGTGTGAAGTCGACTTCCATAAAGATTTATGGCCTTGGAAACCCCTCTGGGGCAGTTGGA